TGCAACTGCACATCGGGACAAAGATCGTACTTTATGGAGAAATGTCCTCTGGTCTGATGAAACAAAAATAGAACTGTTTGGCCATAATGACCATCATTATGTTTGGAGGAAAAAGGGGGTAGCTTGCAAGCCGAAGAACACCATCCCAACCGTGAAGCACGGAGGTGGCAGCATCATGCTGTGCGGGTGCTTTGCTGCAGGAGGGACTGGTGCACTTCACAAAATAGATGGCATCATGAGGAAGGAAAATGATGTGGATATATTGAAGCAACTTCTCAAGACATCAGTCAGCAAGTTAAAGCTTGGTCGCAAATGGGTCTTCCAAATGGACAATGACCCCAAGCATACTTCCAATGTTGTGGCAAAATGGCTTAAGGACAACAAAGTCAAGGTATTGGAGTGGCCATCACAAAGCCCTGACCTCAATCCTATAGAAAATGTGTGGGCAGAACTGAAAAAGCGTGTGCGAGCAAGGAGGCCTAAAAACTTGATTCAGTTACACCAGCTCTGTCAGGAGGAATGGGCCAAAATTCACCCAATTTATTGTGGGAAGCTTGTGGAAGGCTACATGAAACGTTTGACCCAAGTTAAACAACTTAAATGCAATGCTACCAAATACTAAATGAGTGTATGTAAACTTCGGACCTACTGGGAATGTGATGAAAGAAATAAAAGCTGAAAGAAATAATTATCTCTATAATTATTCTGACATTTCAAATTCTTAAAATAAAGTGGTGATCCTAACTGACCTAAGACAGGGACTTGTTACTAGGATTAAATGTCAGGTTTTGTGAAAAACTGAGTTTAAATGTATTTGGCTAAGGTGTATGTAAACTTCCGACTTCAACTGTACGTGTACATGTAGCCTACAGTTCTACCTTGGTATGTCCGGGTGGAAAATTGGAAGTGTGAATTGGGCTAATTTGGAGGTAATAATGCATTTAGGTTATAGTTTATAGTGGCATGAATACACCACACAAAAAGCTTGATTTTTATGGCTTTTTTAATACGATTTTCCTGCAATTCTACTTAGTAATAATTTATGTTCACTACTTGGTCAATTCATTTGATGATTACATCTATGCAAATAAATTCTATGATATTATTTTTTTTTATTCTGTAATATGGTATATTGTAGCCATGTGTTCAAGCTAATCAAATCAAAGTTTATTTAGCGCTGTCCTTTTAGAACCAGGAAGGGCGCTCCAATCATTTAAAATAACCCTCATCAAGATCTGTTGCCTAATAGTCCTACTCATCACTTATTATTATTATTATTATTATTATTACTAATAGAAGATGATCACTTCTCACAATGGTGCTCGTTTAGTAAAGTTAGATCAAAGCTGAATCAATGTCTCGCAAAATCACATACTGATTAATTAGTAGCCTATTTTACATAACAGAACCGAATATAATAGCCAGCATAGTAGGCCTATAACGTTACTGTTACACCAAAAACACCTAATTTCTAATGACATTTTAGGATGGTTAGCTGAAGCTGAATAGTCAAAAAATATATAATGTGCCAAAACTCAAAAGAGCCACTAGGCAGGGTATATGCTTTGATTGAAACAAAATACAAGAAAGGCTAATAGTTTGTTAACACTATCTGCTCTGATTCGCTCACGAAACTGTCATTCAAGAAGATCGAAATGCATAGACTATTCCCATGAAACTGATTGAGATCAATCAAATGATTGGCATGCAGATGCGGTTTCACTGGTAAAGCGTGAAGAATTATGATTCACGATTGATAGTGATGATGGCCTATGTTTTAATTACGTATGCCTAACTTGGTGTTTGATGGTATTACATTTATTTTTATTTTATTGAGACCATATGTGTGGGCATAGAAAGACGTTGCAATTGGAGGATACATTTTATGCATATTCTATGACAGGGCTCTCCAACCCTGTTTCCTGGAGAGCTACCATCCTGTAGGTTTTCATTCCAACCTTAATCTGATTCCAGTGGTGGAAAAGTACCCAATTGTCATACTTGAGTAAAAGTAAAGATACCTTAACAGAAAATGAAAGAAAAGTGAAAGTCACCCAGTAAAATATTACTTGAGTGAAAGTCTAAAAGTATTTTGTTTTAAATATACTTAAGTATCAAAAGTAAATGCAATTAAAAAATGTTTACTTAAGTACCAAAAGTAAAAGTATTAATAATTTCAAATTGCTTATATTAAGCAAACCAGAGGGCACACTCCAACATGCAGAAATAATTTACAAACAAAGCATTTGTGTTTCGTGAGTTCTCCAGATCAGAGGCAGTAGAGATGACCAGGTACGTTCTCGTAATAAGTGTGTGAATTTGACCATTTTCCTGTCCTGCTAAACATTCAAAATGTAACCAGTACTTTTGGGTGTCAGGGAAAATGTATGGAGTAAAAAGTACATTATTTTCTTTAGGGATGTAGTGAACTAAAAGTAAAAGTAGTCAAAAATATAAAAAGTAAAGTACAGATACCCCCAAAAAACTACTTAAGTAGCAGTGGCGGCTCCTGAAAAAATTCTCAGGGGGGGCAATTTTTCTGATGATTTAGGTGACCTACACACATTTAAAAAAAGATATGTCCAGCAACAACATGAAGACAGGGGCAGCATATAAGTCAATGCCAGAAGCATTTATTGACTGATCTCAAAAGTGTTGGCTTACAAAAGCAAAATAAGTTATCACAGTAAAAATAATCAAGGGTGTTCTTTCACATTCCTCAACACTGCATAAACAATATGCATTTCCATAAACAAATGAAATATCAGCTGAAAATACAGCATCTTGGTATTTGTTCAGATTGCAGGATCAACAAGAGCTTTTACCACATTTTTTGCCTCATGGTTGAATTGGAAATATGTGCACCTGAGCATAATTCACAACAAGCAAGCAGGAGCTTTTGATAGAGGCTACTGAAAACATTGATGCAAGTTATTGGTAATAAGAAATTTTTATAGACTTCCATATTCTGCCCTCTTGTATAGATTTGTGAAAATGAACAGTGATAGACATTTTGCCTGAAAACAGAATTTGAAAATAATTTATAGAAAAGGTAAACACAGCTATCTGTATGGCTTTGTAAAAATGAACAACCATATTCTGGCCAATTGTATAGATTTGTAAATATGAACAACCATATTCTGGCCAATTGTATAGATTTGTAAAAATGAACATGAACAGATAATTTTTTTTTTTAAACTTTTTTTTAAATGAAAAATAACTATTTTAAACAACATCAACTGTGAACTGATTTGGGCGTGTGTGTGTTAAAGAGACAGACAGGGAGGGACAAAGAGAGAGAGAGGCTACATTACTTGTACTGAAACTGTTCTCTTCTCTCTTTCAATGCAGCAAAGCGGTCAATGACTTTCTCATTGAAATCAGGCATGCTGAGGACTAGTTCCCTCTCCATGGAAAGCATGGCCAGTGCATTCAGACGTTCCTGGCCCATTGAATTTCGCAGGAATGTCTTAACTCGTGTCAAAGTTGAGAAACATCTCTCAGCTTCAGCTGTTGTCATTGGGAGTAGTTATGATGATGTTCAACAGAGTCACAGTCTCAGAGAACGTCTCCTGGAGGTTGTAGCTCATGAGAACCTGGTACAGTGCCAGTGCACCACAGTTTGACTTTCTCGTCGTCGGCAAAAAGACCGTTCAGTCTCTCCAAAAGCACACTGGCGATTGAGACTGAGGTTGATTCCGAGATGGGAAGGAACTCAAAAAAGCGCTCCTGCACTTTGTGGTTGCTATCTATGTACCTCAGCACAAGCACCAGCTGTGTCTGTGTAGAAACGTCCGTGGTCTCGTCAGCTTGGATAGCTACGAAGTTCGCCGACTTCACCTCCTCCACAATATGTTCCCTCATGACCGCTAGCATACACTCCAGTAGCTCGTTTTGAATGGTCTTTGATGTGAACTTCTTTCAAAGAGACAATCGAGTTGCACTGAACGCTAGCCATCTTTTGATAGTAGTGCGTGAATTGATTGACGCTGCTACCCGCTCTTTTCTTAGTTACGTTCATGGTTATGTTACGTATGACGAAAGCGCGTAAGTGCAAGCCCTCAGAAACCCATAGAGATTGTATTGAAAGCTCTGATATTTGAAAAAAAAAGATTTTACATGAGAGGCTATGACAGACTTCTGGGGCGATTTTCAACCTGACTGAAATCGCCCCAAAAGGGGCGGGGCCATTTGAAGCACGACTTTAGCCTGATTGGACATTTAGTGGCAGATCAGACGTCTAGATTAGAACACTGATAACTACTGTTGCCGTGATATAATTGATTAGAAAAAAAATCCCTTCCTTTTCCCGTTTGGCAGTGCGTCGCCCATATCGCCCTAATGAACACACCGCCCCTGTTAAGTAGTACTTTAAAGTATTCTAATAATTAACTAGTTTATAAGATTAATCAGGTTAGTTAAAACTGGGGTTGCAGTGAAATCATACAGGAAGGCAGCTCTCCAGGAACAAGGTTGGACAGTCTTGTAATGATAGGCTTTGCATAAGGCTACACCTGTCGGTACAAAGTTTGATTGAGGAAATGATGACGTCATTTACATATTTTTTTCGCTTCCTCTCCTAAAAAAATAGCACTACACCACTTGATATAAAGTGGGTTTTTTCAAAGTTGCCAAAATGCCACGTGCGTCCACTTATACCAGTGCATTTGTAACAACCTAACCATTACAAAACTTTATTAGATCAAATAAGCCTCAAGTAGCAATTACATTTTTTGTTGACCAAATTCGACAGTCATTGACCTCCATACAAACATTTTCGTGGACAGATTTGGGGCGGGGTAAAACCTCTCGCTTCGCCTCTTCCTCTCTGCTTGAAAGCACATTTGATTTAACCGGCACCTCGTAGGCAAATCATGAACGCGATTGGCCATTCATCACCCTCAACACTTGATTGACAGTATAACCGACCAATGGTGAGCGGTTAAGCGATCGCGGGGGTTGGCGTATTAGCGGTGAGTCTTCTATGGACAAATGAGATATGCAGCCTTCGCATTGTTCTATGTGGCAATTTTGTTACTACTTTCGGCCAAGGAATGATCTATGTAACAAAATTTGCTGGATACTTTTGTTCCGTTTTGTAGCTCGGTTATAAAGTAACCGTCATCTTTCGGCACTGGAGCACCGGCTGCTAGCCACCGCAAGCTACGCTAGGTAGGTTAGTATCAGCAGTCAATTTAAGGGGATTTAAATCGCGATGCTAACGTTAATTTGTGACAAACTCATCCGTTAGATCGATGTATAGGCAAATTACGGTGTCCGCACGTATACATTGGTAACTGCATTTTGTACATTCTGACTTGGGTTGCGTTATTGTAAAATTGACAGAAAATAAATGCCATAGCATAGCTACTTATTTTGACCAGAGACTACATATTGCAAGCAAGTTTACGTAAGCCAGCTGACACTGCTTGTCACTGTTGTGAAGGCGAGAATACACTTCCCTTTTTGTGTTCTGTGTTCTCTTGTTTGCTGCCTTGTTTGACAAACATCAGTTAACAAATACTTGTACGTACAAGTTCCAGATATTGTTTAAGACTTTGGTTATGAGTAGAATGGCAATAGCTACAAAAGTAATCAAGTCATATATCAAATTGGTCTATTTGCTTTGTTTGAATAAACATGATCTATTCATGTTCATTAAGCCTGGCATCATACTCTTCTTTGGGTTGCTAAAGTTTGACAGCCAGCCTATTGTCGTCAGTTGACACTGGCAGTGCACTCCTTAGCTAGCTAGATGATGGCTCACTCATGTCGTTGCAGTTCGCACTAAACTCCTGTAACCCCTTTCTGCTGTCCTTTCTTGCCTGAAGCACATGGTTCATTTGGAAATGCTGAATAGAGAACTCTTTCTCTCTTTTGGAAGAAAAAGTATCAACACTGTTTATCATCTAAGTTTACTGACGCTCGCCTTGTATTTACTGACGCTCGCCTTGTATTTACTGACGCTCGCCTTGTATTTACTGACGCTCGCCTTGTATTTACAGACTCTTTCCTTCCTTCCTTCCTTCCATTTACTGACTCTCGCCTTCTATTTACTGCCTCCCATAGACTCAGTGAGAGGAGAACTGTAAGAGAGGGAGAGAAGAGATCGGTGTGAGAAGAGGAGAACCTCAGTAGGTCGAAGAGAAGATTGGTGAGAGAAGAGTGTCCAGTAGTGTGGGCAGAGATGGGAGAACCAGAGCCCCTTAAGTTTGTTTCACTGGAGGAGGAGGTGGACTACTGGAAGGAACAGGTGGCCAAGCACCAACAGAGGTACACACACACGCACACACACACACAAAAGAAGGAGCAGTCTGCCAGGCCCCAGCAGAGGTACCCACAGGTATCTGCTTAAACCGTGGTGTCCTCTGTTACTCCACGACCACCATCTTGACCCCTAACCTCTCCCAGGTCTGAGGAGGCGCAGGAGGAGCTGCAGGAGTTCCAACAGATGAGTCGTGACTACGAGGTGGAACTGGAGATGGAACTCAAGCAGTGTGAGACACGGAACCAAGAACTCCTCACACAGAACAACAGGCTACACATGGAACTGGAGAACTACAAGGTATGAACCGTTGACTTGACTAGTCTAGAGAAGCGTTTTTCCAACCTCTACTCGGTTGGAACCAGCCGTTCCATCTATTTGAACTATTCCAGAACTAGCACACCTGGTTCAACTTATCATCAAGCCCTTAATTATAATAATAATAATGTATTACATTTGTAAAGCTCTTTTCATTATACAGAATAATATTTTAAGTGCATAAAATCGAAATGAAATAGAAATAAAATGACACGACAACTGACACCAAGAACCCAGCTGACGCTACAAGGGACAAGGACACCAAAGAGCACAGATATTAACAGAAAGCCTTCGTAAAGACAAAGGTCTTTAGGCCTGTTTTTAAAGGAGCCCAGAGTCTGTGGTGCCTTCAGGTGGTCCGGGAGGGCATTCCAGAGGCTGGGGGCGGTCGAGCTGACAGCCCGATTTCCCCCAAGGGACTGAGCTTCGTCCTTGGGGCGTGGAAGAGCAGGCTATCGCTTGACCTGAGGGTGCGGGTGGGGTTATGGAGGGAGAGCAGTTCTTTGAGATAAGGAGGGGTATTGCCATGAATACACTGGGAAGTCAGCAGGAGGGTTTTGAATTCAATCTGGAATGAGACGGGATGCCAGTGCAGAGATGCCAGGATGGGGGTGATGTGATGGTGCTTCCTCACTCTCACCAGGACCCTGGCAGCGTTGTTCTGGATGTACTGGAGCTTATGGAGTCTCCTGCCAGGGATCCTGATGAAGAGTGTTGTAGTTCTGGAGACTCCTGCCAGGGATCCTGATGAAGAGTGTTGTAGTTCTGGAGTCTCCTGCCAGGGATCCTGATGAAGAGTGTTGTAGTTCTTATGAAGACTCCTGCCAGGGATCCTGATGAAGAGTGTTGTAGTTCTTATGAAGACTCCTGCCAGGGATCCAGGTGAAGAGTGTGTTGCAGTAGTCCAGCCTTGAGGAGATAAAGGCATGGTCGAGCTTCTCTGCATCAGACTGAGTGAGGGTAGGACTGAGTTTGGCGACGTTCTCGAGGTGATAGAATTACGCTTTACACTTTTGTTTGATGTGGCAAAGGTCAGGGAGGAATCGAGCTTTACACCCAGATTGGAAACTGAGGGGGAGAGAGGGATGTTCTGTCCCGCATTGGTGAGGTGTGTTATTGGTGCGTGCTGGACCTGGTGGGGGGTCCCAACAAGTAGGCCCTCGGTTTTGCTGCTGTTCAGTTGAAGGAAGTTTTGCTTCATTCATGCCCTTATCTCCGTAAGGCAGGTGTTCAGACGGGCACATGCATCAGAGATACTTTGGGCTGTTTTTAGCTACAGCTGGTTGTCATCAGCATAGCAGTGGAAGAAGATTCCATGCCGGAGGGGAGCATGTACTGGACGAGCAGAATCGGTCCAAGAACAGATCCTTGTGGGACACCGCAGGTGACGTGGTGAGTCCGGGACCTGGACCCACCTAGCAACACATACTCAGTCCTGTCTGAGAGGTAGGAGTGGAACCAGCTCAGATTGGGTCCAGACAGTCCGATGCTGTCCCGGAGGTGTTCCAGGAAGATGGGGTGGTCGACAGTGTCAAAAGCTGTGCTCAAGTCCAGGAGGATCCAGAGACGGGGAGTTTACATCAGCCGCCATCAGCAGGTTGTTGGTGACCCTGAGTAGGGCCGTTTCAGTGCTGTGGGCCGGCCGGAAACATGACTGGAACTTCTCGAATGGGTTGTTCTCATTGAGATGGTCCTGGAGCTGTACAGCAACCAATTTTTCCAACACCTTGGAAAGGTAGGGGAGGTTGGATATTGGCCTGTATTTGGCAAGCACTTCTGGGTCCAGGGTGGGCTTCTTCAGAAGGGGGGCTGATGACAGCGGTCTTAAATGCAGGTGAGACACTGCCAGATTGTTATCCACTCCCTCCAATCTGGGTTATCAGGGGGCTGAGTGCAGGGATGCATGTTTTGAACAGGGCTGTTGGAATAGAATCCAAGGTACAGGAGGAGGTAGCTTTCTCAATACCTTCCTGGGTGACTTCATGGAAGCAGTAGAAAGGCTGAGGTGGAGGGTCGAGGGCGGCAGAAGACAGAGTAGTAGATCTTTAGATGAGAGATCTGATGTGGCGCAGTGGTCTAAGGCACTGCATCGCAGTGCTAACTGTGCCACTAGAGATCCTGGTTCGAATCCAGGCTCTGTCGCAGCCGGCCGCGACCGGGAGACTCATGGGCGGCGCACAATTGGCCCAGTGTTGTCCAGGGTAGGGGAGGGAATGGCCGGCAGGGATGTAGCTCAGTTGATAGAGCATGGCGTTTGCAACGCCAGGGTTGTGGGTTCGATTCCCACGGGGGGCCAGTATAAAAAAAATATGTATTCACTAACTGTAAGTCGCTCTGGATAAGAGCGTCTGCTAAATGACTAAAATGTAAATGTAATGTTGCTGACCTTACTGTTAAAAAAAAGTTAATGAAGCTGTTACACTGCTGGTCCGTTGTCTCGATCTGGGACTGGGGGTTTCAAAAGTTGGTTTATTGTGGAAAACAGGTGTTTCCAGGATTTGTATTGATGAGGTTGAAGTAGAATGTCGACCGTGCCTCTTTCAGGGCCTTGGAATAGGCCATTTGGTGCTCTTGAAAGGCCAGTTTGTGGATGGTGAGCCCCAAGTTTCTGAGATCAGGATGCGTCCAGTGGATTTTGTGTTTTTCAGTTCTGGAGTAAACCAGGGAGCTGAGTTAGTGAATGTGACATCCCATGTTTTTATGGGGGCGTGCAGGTGATTTTACGGCGAGACATTCAAAATAGCACAGTTCAGGCAGGGGCAGGAGGGAGTTCAGCTTGGTGTATGATGGCTAAGCCACCGCTGCGGCCAGTGCTGCAGGCTTTTTCCATGTACCTGTAACCAGGTGGGCAGGCTTCATTTAGGGCTAAGTAGACCCCAGGCTGATGCCAGGTTTCAGTTAGACACAGGATGTCAAGCTTTTTGTCCACTATGTGTTTGGGCAGCAGGAGGGATTTATTAGTGAGAGACTGGGCATGAAATAGTTCCTTGCTGATAGGCTGGGCATGAAATAGTTCCTTGCTGATAGGCTGGGCATGAAATAGTTCCATGCTGATAGGCTGGGCATTAAATAGTTCCATGCTGATAGGCTGGGCATGAAATAGTTCCTTGCTGATAGGCTGGGCATGAAATAGTTCCATGCTGATAGGCTGGGCATGAAATAGTTCCATGCTGATAGGCTGGGCATGAAATAGTTCCATGCTGATAGGCTGGGCATGAAATAGTTCTTTGCTGATAGGCTGGGCATGAAATAGTTCCTTGCTGATAGGCTGGGCATGAAATAGTTCCATGCTGATAGGCTGGGCATGAAATAGTTCCATGCTGATAGGCTGGGCATGAAATAGTTCCATGCTGATAGGCTGGGCATGAAATAGTTCCATGCTGATAGGCTGGGCATGAAATAGTTCCATGCTGATAGGCAAGAGAGCTGTAGATTAAATAGGAGTTGCATCAAGTCTCTGTAGAGGGCACTAAATCAAGTATCAGAGGTCTCAGGGCACTGAAATCCACTCCATTTTCCGATTTGCTTTGTGTGCATAGTTCTCGCTGTGTTTCCAACTGCCTGAGGAGCAGCCAGCAAACCTGGCCAGTGTCTTTTATCATCCAACCCCGGTGGGCATGTTGTACTGCTCTCATTGGGAGTGCACACAAAATACTTTAGTTTGTTTAATAGTCTCCTACTCCCTCGTTGTCCTCGCCAGCTGCATGTTTTCCGTAGGATCCCATATTGAATAAAGCTGTTCTTGAGCTCCTCACAACAGGGTGGTTTAATCCTTTCAAAACTTCTGAGGAATCTTTCTGTGTTGTGAATGAGGGTTGCTGCCATTTCTGAATCTTTGATCCAGCCTTTGGTCAGGCGATGGGAGAAGATGAGGATGATATGAGGGTCTATGAAAATTTGGGCTGCTTTTCATATCCAAACAAATAGCTAGTTGATTGGAGAAGTTGTCAGAAATGTTAACTAACTTAATTTTGTTGGTAAAAAATAAATAGATATGTGTTCAATACTTGATTAGCTATCAATAAATCAAAGTTAATAAAAACAATGCACATAAACACGTTTTATTAATTTATTAAGTATACATTTGCAGGAGTAAACTAACAAGGCTGCCACTAGGCTCCATGGCAACCATGGAATCTTCAAGCCCTTGACTACATGAATCAGGTCGTAGTTCAGGGTTATAACAAAATTGTGAAATGTCTCGGAGTCCCAGAGGAGAGGTTTGTGGCATCTCCATCTGCAACGTTCGACAACGTTTGGCTACTAAACGTGGCCCAGGTCTGTCTGATGGGAAGCCTGCAGTTGTATTTGAATGGGTATTTTCCTATCAGCCGGCTGCCAGTTTGGGCCAGTGGTTATGAGCCTGCTATCCCTGAGGAGAATAGGGCGGGTTAGAATAGGGTGCTGCTGGTCTAAAGGGCTCTCCGTGGGACAGTAGTGTCTGTGTGTGTGTGTGATGACTGAGCGACTGTATTCATCGCAAGAGGAGAGCTCTCCAGACCTACCGGGCAGAGAGAAGATTTAGCAATTTTATAACTCATTTCATGTAATTCTACTCATTTTTGCCAGGAGGCAGAGAGAACAATTTAGTCGTTTTTCAGCTAATTTCTTGCAATGCTATACATTTTGCCATAGGGTGGAGAGAAATGTTAGCAGTTTTTCATATGATATCTGAGTGAGTGACTTAACAAAATCAATGGGGGCCCCCCGGTCAGTAATTCGACCATGATTACTACAAGTTTCGATAGCTGGTCGCTAGACTAACTTACAATCTAATATTTTTTTTGCTGACATGGGTTAATTGAGTGACTGTCAGTAGCTAGGTTTCCATCCAATTGGCGACAGATTTTCATGCTAATATTCTAAAATCTGCATATGAAATATGTACACTACCATCACCCTGTTCAAATATGCGAATTTTCCCACCAGTGGTGTGTTTCCACCAAATGGACTTGCTGTGGATAAAAATAAGTGCGTGATGACGTAGTGCACACAAAATGTACTTTTTCGACTTAAGTTTTCATGTACCGAATTAATAAATTTTACAGACACAAAAAGATCCCACCATGTCGAACTAACAAATTATGTCGGCATTTACATTTTGTTACTGAAACTTCCTCTTTCCATCACTTCCTCTTTCTGTCATGACTTTACTCACAACTGGATGGAAATGTGGTTTGTGCATGCCTGGCTGTGCTTGAGGTGATGTCACTTTGGAACCGCTGACGATGTCTGACACTCACTTCCTGATGGATGTACTTACATTTACATTTACATTTTAGTCATTTAGCAGACGCTCTTATCCAGAGCGACTTACAGGAGCAATTAGGGTAAAGTGCCTTGCTCAAGGGCACATTTACGTCATTTAGCAGACGCTCTTATCCAGAGCGACTCACCAATTGGTGCGTTCACCCTATAGCCAGTGGGATAACCACTTTACAATTTTGGGGGGGGGTAGAAGGATTACTTTATCCTATCCCAGGTATTCCTTAAAGAGGTGGGGTTTCAAATGTCTCCGGAAGGTGGTGAGTGACTCCGCTGTCCTGGCGTCGTGAGGGAGCTTGTTCCACCATTGGGGTGCCAGAGCAGCGAACAGTTTTGACTGGGCTGAGCGGGAACTATGCTTCCGCAGAGGAAGGGGAGCCAGCAGGCCAGAGGTGGATGAACGCAATGCCCTCGTTTGGGTGTAGGGACTGATCAGAGCCCGAAGGTACAGAGGTGCCGTTCCCCTCACTGCTCCATAGGCAAGCACCATGGTCTTGTAGCGGATGCGAGCTTCAACTGGAAGCCAGTGGAGTGTGCGGAGGAGGGGGGGTGACGTGAGAGAACTTGGGAAGGTTGAACACCAGACGGGCTGCGGCATTCTGGATGAGTTGTAGGGGTTTAATGGCACAGGCAGGGAGGCCAGCCAACAGCGAGTTCGCAGTAGTCCAGACGGGAGATGACAAGTGCCTGGATTAGGACCTGTGCCGCTTCCTGTGTAAGGCAGGGTCGTACTCTCCGAATGTTGTAGAGCATGAACCTGCAGGAGCGGGTCACCGCCTTGATGTTGGCGGAACGACAGG